TCAATCATTGGCAATTATCTGTGCTTATTCAATTTAATCTTGTCACAATCGTTTACCATCTCAAAGAAATCACAAATTTGCACGAAACATCTCATAAACTGAATAGGAGAATATAAATAACTGATTTTGATAATTTGATAGTCAGTAATTTTGACCATTTTGATAATTTGGTAATTTGGTTTTGATATTCATGCAGTAATTTCAGCATATGGAATTTGTTCATAACGTTGTGTTTCTCGTTTCAGTAACAAAATTAATGAAAATTTATGGTGTCAAAGCCATTTATTGACTCATCTCAGAAATATTAAAATATTTTTGAATACTGTCGAAAGTTGACTTACAATCTCGCTCACCTGAACATTAAGAATTAATCTAAACAACGATGATTATAATGATTCGAATAGTTTATTACCGAACTGAATGTCATAACTAATTGCAGTTTCAATCAAGATATCATGATGCTACTCAAATCACTTCAATATCTTGTAATAACTCTCAGAAAAACTCGAAAAAAAAACGAACTTTCAACAATATTCACGTCAGCACACGAATAGAACTCAAATTCACGTCCATGCTCAGTTGCTTGTCTTACCAATCGAAGGGCACACCTCGTGCACTCCAGTCCTTCAGGTAGTTCGAGCACTTCACTTGTTTTCCTGCATATTTCTTCAGTACAATTACTACCCTAATGTACAGAATTATGATAAGGTTACGGTTGTCACTGTTTAATGTAACTATCAAACGTTGTATCGCATTACATACTGCATGATTATTCCAATTAAAGTGTATGTTATATTATCACAGTATTCAATCACATCATAAAATTAACTTCTTCAAATTTAATGCTCTACCAGCATTCTATGCTACTTTATTGTATCACATCATGATACAGTACAATTGATATTTTTTGAATAAAGGTTGATGAATAAATATGTACAATATGTCGTGAAGCATTCCTCTGATAGTGAACCCACATAATCAGTGAGTTACCTGGATTACCTGCATTACCTTGATTGCCTGGATTAGCCAGGTTATCAAACGTTTGTAACAAGATTGCTGGCCACAATGCTGGCGCTTCCGTGCACACTGTTTCAGTGACTACTCGACAAATATCACTTTGTTCTTACACGCGAACCTAATAGGCAAACTGTTGCATGAAATAGATTTTGGGATGTTGATAAAGACTTACGACGTATCATTCACACCCACAAAATTTGTTCCATCCGTGAGCAGTGCGATCGTTTCATCGGTTTCATCCAGCAGTTCGATTCTGTAGCCACCCTGAAATACGCAAAAACATTCAATGCAAAATCAAATCGCTCACGAAACTTTTCATTCAACACCTCATGAATGTCCATCCCTATTTCCAAAAAATCCCAACTTTCTTAATCGCTTAAATTATCAAAGAATTCATTAATATAGTTCCTCTAAGATACCCCCTTCAGAACGCTCTTTTTTTAAGAATTGATTGCACTCAATTTAAAACTGAAGCGATTGGTTATTTCTGCAAATATATCAATTTTGACATCTATTTGCACAAACAAACGCACACTCAAAGAGTTGTTGAAAAAAAACAGTTTGTTACACTCTCATGTGATCGATCAAACGAGATCTGCTATGATCAATCATTTTTTTTAGTGCTTCAGCTTGTTCAACTGACATTCGGAATTAAATAATAAATTTTTGAAATAATCTGACGAAGGCAGCGAAGTTTAAGATGGTCAAAACAAGTTCATTTAGAAGATAATAAAAGAAGTCGTTATTACATATTCCTTATTTTATTACTTGCAATTCACGATGCGTTTGTTTCACTTTCACATTATCACATCAAAAAGTTGCGATTGATTGTTTAGGTTCATCAAACTATGACAATTCGTGAAATAATCTCATAAAATTCGCATCGAAGAGTCCAAAAAAGATTTCAATCTCAAAAAAGCTCATTGTAAAAATTTGCTCCGAATGATTAAACGCATAAAATCACTGATGTGACATGGATTGACTGCCTTAAATTTCATCATCGTCGTTATCACGAATTTATTGATGATCTTACAAAGAGAAAGCGCAATTGAAATGACTCAAATTACGCAATTGAGCACAAGTTTTTGAGCTAATAAACAATTAAATAAATATTTCGCGAACTCGATTACCAGCTCCTTTCAACAGGTTATTTGAACAAATGTTGTAGACAATTAACGCAAAAATTTATGGCTGAAAGAAATTCAAACGTCAGCGATTATTCAAACTCAACAGATTGTTATCTGTTGTGTTCAGCATTGCATTTCCTGGGAATGCACCCACTTTCACATATTTATGGACATTTTGTAATTCTGTCATTTTCGAACAATGCAAAATCAACCGGCTCACGAAACATTCCATTCAAAACGTCATGACTGTCCATCTCTATTTCCAAAATTTCCAATCAACATTGCTTTTTGGATCGCTTCAATCGTCAAACAATTCATCAATATAGTTCCTCTAAGATACCCCCTTCAGAATGTTCTTTTTCAAAGAATTGATTGAACTCAACTCAAAACTGAAGCGATTCGTTATTGGGTATTCTGTTGGGTTATTTAAAACAATGCGAATCTTCACGAAACGATTGATTCCGAATAGAATTTCAATAGTGAATGGCAAAAACTGCTAATTGTAAAAAAATTTACATGGTAGGGGGCAGACGAGAACCATGTGATATTGAGCGGTTGTCCAGAACGAATCCATACGGACGAAGCATCTGAAGATTATCAAATTAAGAGCATGAAAATTCATTGAATTGAAAAAGACAAAACTGCATTACGAGATTGCAATTTCTCTATCTGATTGTGAGATAGAGAAATTGAAATCTCACAATACAATTCTTAAATAATCTCATAGATTTGTAAAATTGCTAACAAGCGATTTTTGCAGTTATCAAACATTATTTAATAGATGAGCGATTTCTGAACAATGCGAAGCAGTGATTTCCAAATGCTCACTAAGCAAATGGATGGCGACTGCTCAGTTGTTACCCTGGCATCGCTAGATCATAAGTGGAGTGAACCCCGCTCGAAGTTTAGAAACTAATTTTCATGGTACCTATGCAAAAGCACAATAGTGTACAATTCACATAAGCGCGATCTGTCACAGTCTAAATCCGACTTCACTGCAATCACTCAAAGTTATCCTTCCCGGCTCCCTCATCCTTAAATAAGGTTCTTTTCCAGAGAATGATGTATTTTTTGTTAACTAATCACAGAATAATTCCTTCCATAATGTATATATTTAACCAGCAAATCAAACTCATTACGAGTTCATGCTTCTCTGTTATCACCAATATCACTAATATCACATTCTTCCTTCCTTGGTATTCTTCTTTCCCCGCAGCTAACGATACCAGCGTTGGGAATCATCTGTCTTTACGAAATTCTATTATCACTGATCAATATCTAATATCAGTTTATGCCTCACTATTCCTTCCACAACACGTTGATTTATGCATTTGTTTGTTTGTCTGTGCAAAGTCAGTGATAATTGTTTATTATGAGCGTAATTTAACGATGAATTAATCAATTCATTCATTAAATGTTGATTTCTTAATGAAGTGTGAAATATAAAACTTCACAAGGTCAGTCAGAAGGCGATAATTTAAGTCGGTATGCATATTCTCTTATCAAATGGTATAGAATTATGTCATACGTGGCAAATTTTTTAAAATCTAGTAAACCTCTTAACCTCAACAAATGATTTAAGTCAACAGACCGTGAACTTGTGATTTAATTGAAAACTTTTTGAAGAGTTACGAAATTGGATGCTGCAATACCTGTCGAATATTTATAGGTTATTGGAAGAAACGAAATTTTTTTCGCAGAAACAAAAAATCTCATAGGAAATCACTTGCATGAGCTGTGCTCACATGCGCATTTTTCTCGATTATTTTCTGCTATGTTATCATCTGGTAGGTCAAATTTTCATTGAGCTTTCGACCGAAGGATGGAAATTTTTCAAATAAATTACTGTTATGTTTGGATAATTGGATGATCATTTCAAGTATTCGTAACGTACTCATCTTGCTTAGTACTTATGATTCTTTGAGAACACTCATTGTCAGGTGAAGTTTCAAT